TTATTGGAAGATACGGTATAACGCAATAACATCTCTAAATTGCTTCTCAAAAAAATCTAATACAAATGAGTTCGTAGCCTCGCAATGCGATGATCTTCCATGCGCAACGTATCACAAAACATCTCAGTTTGGAACAAGTAGTTGTCAAACAAAATGATAAGTTTGTAGACATTGGGGAAGCAGAAAAGATAAAATCCACGCATATATTCAACATTAAAGTGAGATGAAATGCAGCCTATTACTTACCATTGTGTTTGAACAACTTAATGGTGGCCCCAGACACTCTACATCCAAGAACCAGAGAAGCATGGTTCAATTCGTCACTAAGAATAAGCGATCCCTAAACTTGTTCCCATTGTTTTACAAATTTTCCCTATACTATTCAAATAGAACCTCAGCTGACCTTATCAACAAGGGACGGAATGTTCATCGAATTAGTGCTAAAACCCATTGGAAAACAGATTGCCGCATCTACTCCGAGATAGCGCGCAACACAATTTTCTATCTCAGCGTGGACAATGTGATTCCCTAAAATCGGTAGACACTAAAAACTCAGCAAGTATCAAAGTTAGAAAACGATTTTTGTGAAAAGAAAACCTTGAATACCTCGTTCATGTCTAGTGCTGCCAATATGCACACCGTATTTATCGATGAATCTCGCCGCTTCTTCGGCACATGGACCATCATTATGAGAAAAACCAAGATAGTTGTATGATCCCATGTTGATCACTTCTGTCTCTGTTCCGGTAAACCTAAAATTCATTAGCTAAGAAAATTGTTATAGAGTACGATGACAAGAACCTGCTACTGCTAGAGGAAAAATGGCTTGCTACAAACAAAGCATAGCGCATCACGAACATTAAATAAAGCTAAAAATGGTGCTCCTTTATTCACAAATTTTCTAATTGGCTTACAGGCTTTGAAGTTGCAGTTCGCCACTAAAAAGAATCTAGTCAACGATTTGACCAGATATTTAACTGAAACTAGGAGGTAAAAACTTTATTGAGAAACCACTGTTCCTCTTGGTACCAACAAACAATGCTATAAGTCAACTAAAAATGCCCCAGTGGACTTCATGCTCTGTTCAAAACTAGTACTTAGAGGTGCTCATTTCACGTGGAAACTGCTAACGGTCTCTTTACAGAAGGCTTTAGGAGCCTTTCTATAATTTTTTTT